GACGCTTACGACGGATTTTTATGTGAACATCTTTTTTAAAGTTATGAGCGGTATTGTAAATTGTTTGGGAATATGCGTAGAACAGCTCCAGATAAGTGCACTACATTGAGAAAAATATGAATCACAGTAAGTTAAACAGGAATCAAACCAAAAATTCTGTATAGAATTTGTGCACTCAATACAAAAAGTTGCTAAAATATCAATTTTGTGGAATTTTGATAACTGAACTATTTTTCACTCATTTTGTATGCAACAACTCTTTCAACTCAACTCTCTCACGAGGGCTGAATCTAAGCCATTGAGAATTTTGATTTGATTTACATATTAGCTTTAATCCATCATGGGAGTGACGATTTCGAAAAAGATGAGATAAAAGAAAGATATAAGAAATCCTTTTTTATCGTTACATTTCTTTCTGCCTATGTGAGTAGACAAAGCTGTTACGTTTATACATGTGTTTTCTCGGTGGATTAGACCCTTTCATTGAGAGCGTTGCATCAAGGGCTATAATTATGCTATAATGGTTGGATGTCACGCCAACAGCATCACACACGTTGCTTGGGAATTACAACGGTTGTGGAATGGTTGTCAGAGCTATAGCTCAGAGCTATCATCGACTGGGACGGGGTGTTGAATACGTTAATGAACGAGACTGGACCTTTAAGCTACGGTTGTCCTTACGCCATTAAGATGAGTTTCTTACAAGGATATGAAGACATAGTTATGACCCGTATCTGCTCATTTGTTGCATTACCACATCTCACTCATTAGTCCGCTGAGATGTAGTAATACCTCGGTTTAATCGCGAAAGGAGTAGTAAAATAAAAATTCATAATTTGCGTAACGCTGTTGGTCGACACTGCTGCAAACACTTGATATATCATTTCTGCTTGGAACACTTAAATATATGTCACAAGAGAATCTGAGTATTGTGCCGAGGCAGCGCTACGTTGCCATTGGTCGAGTAGCTGAAAGATGTATGGAATTCAAAAAATCGCATCACTCTCTGCAATGATCGGTCAATAACTCTAACATCGGCCCAATCACTTGAAACCCAAC